TTATTATTTTCTGTTTGCGTGTTGCACATCTATGATCTGGATTAACCCCCCCCTCCCCTCCCCCCCCCCCACCCAATTTTTAACCAGGATTTAAATGCAATTACCTGCCACTCTCGTGAAGCTGTGTTAGCAATTAATGATGGTGTTGTTAAACCGCTGAAGAGGGGAAAGTGCTTCTTTTTTTTTTTTTGTTTGTTTTTGGGGCTGCATATGTTCAATTTTGAGGGGCATCACACAAGCATTCGGACCCAAAGAATGGAGGATTAACCTCCGCAGATATGCACACAGTAAAGCGAGGCAAAAATAAAGCCTAGATTTTTGCGTTGTAATCACCAGAAAATTCACATCTGTGTTTAACGGCGATTGGAGAGCAGCAGTGGAGCTCAAATTCCCCAAAAGAGCTGCGGGAGTGTGAGTAAGAGAAGTGGTGGAGAGTTGGGTGCTACAGAAGTCAGTGGGAACGCGCTATTTCTGGGGCGCCACCTCCACACTTCCTATAGGCTGAGTGAGTGTTCAGAGGGAAAGAAAATGCACCAGTTTACTATCTGCTGTGGGCAGCGGGGAGAGGGGGAAGGGGCGGGCACTAACTTGCTTGTTTAACCGCCGCAGTGATACCCAATCACAGCATAGCCAGAGGGCCATAAGTGCTGGAACCTCTGCTGTATTTAACCATCTCCCTCTCACAACAACTGCATTGTAAAATGGTAGTAAACTGTCATTTTAGTGGCTATTTTTATAGACCTTTTACTGTGCCCACCAGTGTGCGCTCTTTAGAGGCACAAACACAATCTGCTAGCTGGTGAGTGGCTCGAGCTAGCTGCCCACAGAGCTTTTTGTAGGACATCCCAGGCGGCTGGTAGCAGAGGGAGGAGGGAGGAAGGGAGTTTCCTGGCCATCTGTTAACTCCTCTGACCTACTATCTGCCACAACTGGAGCAGCGTCCGTCTCCAGCCCGGCCCAGCCCTGCTCACATCTCTCTCCCCCCCCACCCTCCTCCTCCTCCTCCCTCCTCCGCCTCTAATCCCAATGTTTATCTTCCAAAGATAGCACAACCTCACCATTCAAGGAGTTCATCTTTTTACTCTTAGGTTGGGTGTTAAAGGTGGCATCACGCGGGATCCCATTAGCCTGTCTGCTCTGTGCGGGATCGCGGCTTACGATCTTCTTCAGGAAGCGAAAGTGTTAAATCTCAGTCAAGAGTCAGATTGGTCCTGAACGTGCCCCAAGGCGAGAGGTCACAACACGCGCCTCATCAAGACTGTTTGTTTGTTGTTTTTTTTCCCCTCAGTGCCATGCCTAACGAAGCTTCGGCGGCAGGTAGTCGTGAAACGAGGGCACTGCAAAGCCACCAGATGTGGCCTCTTGATCTTTAGAACTGAAGGAGGGGAGCCGTGCCACGTGAGAGCAGCGCAGTGGGCACGCAGGCTTGGAGTGCTCTGTTGTTGTTTTTATTCTCTGTAATTTAGGATGCAAACAGTGTAGTTTGAGTGTGTGTGTGTGTGTGTGTGTGTGTGTCTGTAATCCACGTTCTGCTAATCCTTCTAAATACGAAGGTAACCTAAATCAAAAGCCATTAGACTGCAGTGCTGCTCCCATTCCTGTCCGTCATCTGCAGCACGGTCAGGCTTAATATGAGTCACTCAAACTAAAACTGCAATCTGAATAATGTTTGCAGTGTTGCTGCAATTTCTTTTAAACTCTAATGAAAGCTTTATCTCTCTCTTGATAAATGTTTAAGTCCATTGCATTTCAGTAAAACACTCATTATCGACCATATCCAACTTCTATTTGCAATTTGCAAATTGATTTATTACGAGTTTAGGCGTTTTTTTAAGTTGTTGGTATTGGTGGCATTGATGTCCTGCTTCTTCCGCTAATGAAAAGGCACATTTAAAGATTATTAATAAGCGAGTTTCAGAGTAGCTGTCCAGTAGATGTCGCACTTTAGCGCCAGTTTCTCCGGCCAAAACAAGACTGTCCCTCAGCGCACTGCTTCCCCTCCTCCCCGTTCCCCTAACCTCAGTGTTCTGACCGAGTTCAGACATTTGTAAGACTGCTGTCCATTCAGATATGCAGCCAAAAGTTGTTTTAGTTTTTTCCTTTTTTCAAAAGTATTTTAGACCAAAGAAAAGCTTTTCTGGCTCCTTTGGTTGTACTCTTGTGATGATTCCAAGAGTGTGCAACTATAAACAGCATCTCTAACTGGCAGGAGAGGTCAAGGTTCACATGAAAAAAAGCAAACATGTTTGAGCCTCCGAGTGAAACATAAATAAGTTGAAGGAGCTCCATGCCGTCACTGTCAACACAGAGCTGAGAACAACAAACTCAGAGGGAGTTTGACTTCACTATTTTGTTGAGAAAGTCGCTACTGAACGATACATTTAGTAGCATGTAATAGATATCTACTATGTTAGTGTTGCATATTATACATGTTAACTTCTGTACGAAACAGAAAAGTTGCCCTAAGGTCAGTACTCAACAGCAGAACAGATTCTTGTGTTTGAAACAGACACTCACGCTTATTGAAGTGTTTATGCTAAGCTAAAGCTAACTGCTGTTTGTAGCCTTATATGGCGCAAAAAGAAAAAGAAAGTGACATGTATTGTATCCTCTTTAAAAGGGCAAATAATTGTGTTTTCCAAAAGGCAAACTTCTCCTTTAGTAAGTTTTGTGTGAACGAAAATCAACTGATTTAGAAATTGCATTAGCAATGAATCCTAAAGGTGAAGCATACACTAAGTTCTGAAATTCATTTTTTCATATTTTCTGCATTTAAAGATGACTTGGGCCCGACTGAACTCCAAAAACCTTTTGTTATTAGTTTCCTTGTGCTTCAGTGTCACATATCTGAGGTCCTGTGCAGTGGTGGCAGTGATTTGGCTCAAGCCGATAACATATTAAAACCCTTTTTTTTTCCGTCCAATGATGCATGAAACCACAAAGATACTGAATGAATCTGTGTGAGCAGCGGCTGGTTACGTTTCAAAGGCACTGTCAAAAAACTGACAGGCTCTTTTACTGTGTGGGTAACCAAGGAGACGGGGCCCATACGACTGCAGGGCGGCACTGCGAGCTACCCGATGCTACTTGGTTACACAGATGGACAAACTAAACAGCGAAGCGAGGACGTGATGGAGATAAAGTAAACAAAGACTCAAGAGAAGGAGGAAAAAAAAAAAAAAAAGTGTGAAAATGTCGCGGGAGGGAACGAAAGGAGCGTGGAGAGAAAAAGTTGAGAAATTGAATCAAATAAACGAAAGAATGTGTGAAAAAAAGAAGAGCTTCATTAGTGTGGCTAGCAGAGCATGCAAAGGTGGTGCAGCATGCATAATCACCTCCGAAGACTTAAAGTGAGGCTTTTAAAGATTCAGCTTACTTTGTGTGTGTTTGTGTGTGTTGTGTGTGTTTGTGTGTGTGTGAGCAGCTGCAGAGGGCCTCCATTAGCATGCAGGAGGTGCTTATGTAAACTGTCATGCTGGTGGCTCAGAGTGAATGTAGGAAGTTGAAACAGAGGCCTCTGTCTTCATGAGAGCAACTTCAGCCGGTCGTGATTGATTCTCCCCTGAGAGTCTGATAAACATTACCGCCGAGAAGTGATACAACAGCCTCGCAGGCCTCGAGGAAATGCCGCGGCTGTCTGCGCTGGAACAGTCGATAACTTTTGAATTGCATTATGTCTGCATTAACAGCGGCGGTCAGTTATTATCAAACCATGTATCTCTGCTGGTCTCTCTTTGACGGCCGGATGCATCTTCACAACATCCGAGAGACTGATGATAAGCGTACAGCTGACAACAAGAGCAAATGTAAAAATCCACATTTATAGTAAAAACAAAAAGCTGATATAGACACGGGGGAGGGGTAAAAGTCTTTTTTTGAGTGTTAAGACACAACACTTCCAATAAAAGAAACTTGGAAAATAAATGAAGCAGCTGGCTCTTTAGGGAGGACAGGAAGTGGTGTGTTTTGTTTTGAGTAGCCGTTTCTATATTTGGAATAAACGCAAGAGGAACTGGGAGCATGCAACGGTTAGTTTGGCTCTGTCCGAACATAACACCAAAAAAAAAAAAAAACTACACAGTTGCCTTCACAAGTTGTTCAACTCTGGAACAAGTTGTATTGTATTAGTGCGGCTGTTTTCACACATGCACCTCTGGAAGGAAAAAATAATCAATGACAGCCTACTCCTGATATTTTCCATAGTTGTTAGTCACACATCATGAATTAATGACAGTTTTCGCCTTTCAATCGATGCTACCTGTTATTGGACTTATCCACAGTTTCAACTAAAGATCGGAGAAGATCATAATGTCGAGCTGAAAAAAAGGTTTAAAGCTGCTTCGAAAACGTACACTTGTGGAGTTTGACCTGCTGCCTTCACACATCAGCTCCCTCCAACTCACTGTGGCGGTAAAGTCAGGGTTGGACTATCTGGCCTTTTGTCTTCACACATGAACCTCACCAGAGTTTTCTGCATGTGTAAATAAATACTGTACAGCATGATAGACCCCTAAAGGTGCTAAAAGGCATTTATGTATTTGTATGTTTTTAAGTTTTGGACAGAGGCTAGATCATTCCTCGTATTACCCGTCCCTATGCTAAGCTAAGTGTCTCAGTCCTAACTTAATAGCTCTTTATCTTCATCAATTCACCAATTTAAAATACAGAGTAAAAACAATGACATGTATAGAGCGAATAACGTCCTCTGACTTCTTCAGTCTTGAACAAAACGTTTAAAGTGGGTATAGGCAACTTGAATAAAACCATCAAGAGTAACATATTGTGAAAGTTTGTCTCAGTGTCAAACATTCGGTCAAATGAAATGACCTGTTGGACTTCTTGCGGTCTTTTACTTTTAGAGCGTTTTTGATGTTTTTAAAGGCTGCAGGAAATCAAAGAGATTAATTGTAACAAGCACCAAAAAAAGAGCATCTGAAATAAATGTGTTGATCTACCGTTTGAGTCTCAGTCTGATCCAGTGTGTTCGTCTCGTCCTGCAGGTGTTTGCCACCTACCCCAACGAGGACTACGACAGGCGTAATGAAGACGTGGATCCCATGGCAGCGTCCGCGGAGTACGAGCTGGAGAAGAGGGTGGAGAGGCTGGACCTGTTCCCCGTGGAGCTGGAGAAAGGTAACGAGATGAATCATGAAGTTCCCTCAAAAGACTGCGGTCTCCCCAGGTGCGCATTGTGAACAGTAACTTTGACTTTTATCCAAGAGTTTTATACTTTCCCCCCACAAAATGTGTTTAAAAGAACTGATCAAAGGAAAGTCAGAGCATTCAAAATATAATTTGGTGGACTCCTATCAGGCATGATCCAAGCACATGAATCAATTAAGGCGAAAAGGTGCAAAGCATCTCGACGTGGCTCGGTCACCAGTTGCATTTTGAGTTCAATAAATGTGTGCGAAGAAGTTTAAAATTGAATTTTTTTTGATTTACGTGATTTAACCTTCCACTTGGCAGTCAAATTTTTCTTTTATGTCCCCCCTTTGAAGTCAAATGAAAAACTAAAAAAGGTAATAAATAAAAAGAGTCAAATAAAAGAATCTAAATCCTTTTAAACTCGTATAAAAAAAACAAACATTTTATCTGGAGAGCCTTCTATCAACCCGTCCTGCTTCCTACGAGGCAAAGAAAGTGCAACAGTGCCTCGCTCCCAACATCCCTTTAACATTACCATGCATTAATATATTTATAGAAGACTATATATAGAGATGTGCACAGGGCAGATAACACAGGATACCATATGTGACCATGCTCCATATACATACATGACGTGCTGCTGTGTTTACCGTCCACATTCATTACATCAGGATAGAAAAAGACGCTAGTTATTAGCCTGAGAGAGAGAATCAGTGCTTACGTATTAATACAGCACTGATGCGGCACTGGGACGTCATTCATGTTTAATACACGTATGATTGAACTATAACAGCAGACAGTAGCATCCAGCTACTTGCCGGCTAGCATTAGGCAAGGCTACTTTATTGATAAAGCACATTTCAGCAACACGGCGATTCAGTGACAAAGGAAAACAAGAAACGTCAAAGAAACATTCATCACTGTTTTGTAGTGTTCAAGGCTACAACAGGAAGTACCGCCAATAATTATAAATTTCCTCTGGTGTGTTATGTAAGCTGGGACGTGGTGGAACGCTAATAATAGTAATAGCTGTTATGCAACGATTGCTAATGGGGTTGTAAAATGTGTTGTTTTTCACTTTTGGTCTGATTCTCTCATTTCATTTGCTGATTAATCGAGAGCGAGTGTCAGATTCCCTCTCTTGTTCAACCTGCAGCCTTGAATACAGCGGTTTTATATTCTCCTTGTCGACAACAGAATTTAAATTCTCCTTTTAAAAGAAAAATGGCCACGCTGTGAGGACGGTGCACGCGAGCATTGCGAGGTAATAAATAGGGAAACAGGAAGGAAGGAAATGCATTGTCAGGCCTCAAGGACACGACACACAACAGAGGGGTAACAGTGAACGTGAACACAACTTTGCTTGTTGTGACCTTTTCATTTAGATCTCATTTGTTTACAAGATGAAGAGCTCAGCGGTGCTTTTTTTTTTTTTTCGCTCCCCAACTGAGTGGTTTGACTGATTGCAAACTCTTAAATATTCATTCAATTTAATCAAACATGCAAAATCTCAGGTGTGACGACATTCATATGGATTTGTTTCCCCTTGTTTGCCACCCACAGACGGTTGTGACGCCGCCTCTTCGAGCTCCCCCATGACAGCAAAACCAATTTAAAAACGGGATTCCAGTCGAGGTATAATGATAATGTGTGGAATTTGTTCTTTCAGATGGCGAGGGCCTGGGCATCAGCATCATCGGGATGGGCGCGGGGGCCGACATGGGTCTGGAGAAGCTGGGCATCTTTGTGAAGACGGTCACAGACGGAGGAGCAGCACACAGGGACGGCAGGTACGTTCACTCACACTGATGCCGCACGCCACGGGTCACGTCACGGGTCGCCTTAAGTTGTAGTTTTCATTTTCCACCGGTGGATTCCTTCACTGTCCCCACATGTCTCCCGATTCCTGGCAGCTGCGAATCGGAGCGCTTTCTTCTCTTCTTTCTAAATGGAGCTCGAGCCTGTGTGGGCTTCAGTAAGGGGATGACGATTGCAGAGGCCGGAGCCGAGCTATTACTGTAAACGCTAAACCGTCTCCCTTTCACTGCCTCCTCCAGGATCCTGGTGAACGATCTGATCGTGGAGGTGGACGGGACCAGTTTGGTGGGAGTCACCCAGAGCTTCGCCGCCTCCGTACTCAGGAACACGGCGGGAACCGTCAAGTAAGAATTACCCTGAGTAGATGTGTGTTTTTGAAAAACTGTAGCAAAAAAAAAACCTACAAGGCAAATACTACAAAGGAAGCACAGCCGAGGGAAGGAAAATACAAACGTCTCAGTGGAAAAATCTAGTTTTTATCCTTGTTAGCATGTCCACAGGGTGTGTTTTATTCACTAGAAGAATTGACATAATCACTAAGATTACTTTTCTGATTTGAACTGCGCTGTCTGAATGACAATTTCAAAAACACAAATTCAGTCAGGTTCAGTTTAATTCACATCTAGTTATTTTTGAAATGTGCGTTTTGGCCTTTTGTACACATGCAAACTGTGTTTTAGGTCACTTAAAATGAACCTTGTCGAAAACTCCTTCCGGTGGGGGGGGAAGATTTTCAGAAACTGGTGACGTCACAATGTGCATCGGTCTCTCCTTCGTTTTGGTGTCATTGCGCGAACTACAAAATAAAACAGGAAACACTAAAAGGCTCCACTTGGAAATAAAAAACGGCACAAGGTCGTCAGGTTAAACAAGTTGATGAGACCAACGGCGATAATCAGTAAATCAAACAGGAAACACTGAAGGCAAGACGAGGGAATAGAAAAATGCACACACAGGGGACTTTAGAGGCACGAGGAAGGAAAAGAGAAAATAAAACAGGAAACATGAAGAGCAACCACAAATACGTTCTTAATGAAACTAAACAAGTCTAAGAGGCGAGGGGCGCCTGCGCGTTCTTAGATCTGGATCCAATAAATCAGGGCAAAAGTGTGGATGAGCAGCTTAGAATATTTAGACATGAGGAGGTTTTCTGTCCTGGAAAAACAAACTAAATATTTTATTTTGCGGTATGAGCCTGAGTTTTAAAGAGCCTAATCAAGAAGGAGTGATAACCTGCTCTACCTGCGCTGCTTGTCTGCTCACTCCTCCGTCCTGCTGCCCGTGACCTGGAAATAACTCTAAAGTGCCGTCCTGAAGGCTCTCTCAATTCCTAACATGTATTTCTGAGGGGAGTGGAGCGAGGAGGGAGCAGACAGGAGCTGTTACAAAAGATGCACAGGTGTATCCTTTTTGAGGGAAATCTCTTCAGCATCTTGTGACGTACAAAACCGCAGACATATACTGCACGGCATGCTGTGATGAACACGGCTGTGACTTTGTGACAGAGGTCATAAAACACAGCTGTAGTCTATGAAAAAACGAAAGGGACAGACGATGCCGCGCTGAAACACGTTCGATTAAATTGACGTCACTGTAACATCACAGCTCCGAAACACAGACGTCTCGGTTCATTACGTGCATGTTGCCTTCAGTCCGCTCTCTCCTCATGTTTAATGTTTGGGACCCTTGGCAGGTGGAGGTTAAATATTCCGTCTAGAGAATCAAAAATCTGTCTCCAAACGTTTTCTAGGAGAGGACAGTCCCAAAATATATGAGCAAAGTGAGCAGAGTCTTCTTCGCAACTCCTCCAACATAAACTTGATTGACTGGGGTCTATTTTTGAAAGGATGTAGGGTGTTCTGAAAAATCTGTCCACTATTTTCCACTGGAATTCTCTCCATATGTTCGCATTAGTGACTTCATGGATTTCTGAGGAAATTTTGACCCATGCCTCTCCACTGATTTCACAATTTCAACTCCCCCTCCCCCTGTATTCTTTACTTGAGAGTTGTTTTCCTGTTTCATACCTGATAATGCTTAATATAGCCTGGAAACAGGTCTCTTTAAGTGTTTTGTTATTGTTCAGTTAGGGAGCCACCTTTCTGCAGGTTGGTCATCCATCTCTGTTTGTTGGACATTTGGTGAACTGTGCTGCTGCCCGTCCTGAAAAAGTAGGCAAACGCATGTGACGCACGTCCCTTATTTTGGGTAAAAAAAAAATCACTAGATATGATGCGTAAAGGCTTTCAACACTGTGGCTCCTAAAGATTTTACTTTGCTCGACGCATTTAAGAACACAACATATCGAGTCTTTCAGGCCTGAAGCGTGGTTTAAGAAGTATACCTTTGGGAGCCGTAGTGTTGTGATAGTGACGTCTGCTGCCTAACTCGCTGAGGACAGAGGGATGTTTAATCACTGCATTGTGTCCTCCTGCTTAAAAAAATAAAAATCTTGCAATAATAATAATAATAAATGTATTTATAAGGCGCTTTAAATCGAAGTGCTGTACAAAGCGATACAGTTAAAATACAGGAAAAAACATGCAGAGAAATCATGACTCATACTGAACAGTAAACAGATGGGTCTTTAACTTTGCTTTAAAAACCTCAACAGAACAAGCCGGCCTGATGTCCAGAGGTAACCTGTTCCAAAGTGTCGGTGCACGCTCACCAACTGTCTTCTTTCTGACCTTGACAATGACGCATCAAAGCATGTTACAATACACTGAAAACCAGACGAGACTGTGCGAGTTTGTTGTCCCTTTTTTAAGGAAGTTTGTCTCGGGCTCAAAGTGCTGCACACCTTTTTAGCTGCCTCCACAGCAGCATCAATAAATGAAAACTGAACAGAGAAGCGCATATCAGTGACAAACACAAAGCCCGTGTATTGCACATTACTCACTTTGCCCGTGTTCCCCCACAAAACACGACATGAATAAGTGAAAGACGATAAAGAACACCCTGACGCTACCGCACAAACCCGCACGGCCTCAAAACACACCGCTGTGCCCTCGGCTGAATCTTTAATATTAATGTCTCATTTTGAAGTCGGCCTCAGATGTGACCAGGACAAACGTTTGCTCTCTCTCTCTCTCTCTCTCTCTCTCTCTCTCTCTCTCTCTTCTCTCTCGCCTGCTGAGCATTCTTACTCAAAGAGATGGTTTCCTCTTGATAGGCGCAGTCTCACTCAGACGAGCGACTTCTACCACATCCTGCCTGCTCAGCTCACCAGGCTGCTAGATGTGTATCTCAAGTCTCACAGGGTCATGATTACAGCCTGCAGTATTGAAAAGCTCCTTTTTTTTTTTTTTTTTTTTTTTTAAGACGTCCTGAATATAGTCCAGAGTTTCCACAGAAGCCACAGAAAAACACTGTTATCATCAGACATAAATACAGTCGGGCATCGGATGCATCGTTCTGAAATACCAGAGGACTATTTGTAGGTTCGTCTCCACGGCTTTTTGTTGTGCTCCTTTTTGTCGTCTCGGCTCATCAATAATTCAGGGTTTGGTGGTCAGAACTGAAGAGTAATTGTAAAGTGTGGTGTGTCTCGTGAAGATCAGAGACCTCCACAGAAAGCTCATACATTATTGATCGACGTGTGCTAAAGCTCAGACCTATTCATAAAAAAACATCAGGCGGACAAACAGACAGGGCGGGGGTGTGTGTGTGTGTGGGGGGGGGGGTGCAGGAAGTGTGTTTGTGAACATTTAATTACCAGTTAACGTCGTAGAAACTGAATGGCTGCAGGCTTAATAACCATCTGTGGCCTTGTTGTGATTTACTGTATTTTATTTTTTTACTGGCGTCTTTTAATTGGACGGAGGATCGCGAGGGCTCAATCAGGAAACATATAGTGCTCTGTAATGAAGTGAACAATGAGCTGGAGGAGAGGCAGGGCTGAGGGTTTTGATTTTAATCGCAGAAGAAGTCAACGCCGCAGGGACCGCCTTTTGTTCGGCTTGGAAACAGGAAGTCGTTTTCTGCTATCGGAGGCAGCACATTCCTCACTGCGTTAATACACTTTTGATCAAACCTTCAGAAAAAGATGTGGATAATATATGAAAAAAACACTTTACTGTCCCGTATAGAGGCTGACACTCCTCAGCAAAAAACACAACATCATATATTATTTAGCGTTCACATATAGTACGGTTTCACATCCCATCAGTTCAGCTAGCTTTCAACATGCTGTGGGTTTTTTTTTTTTTTTGTCGTCCTAACACATCTCAACCCCCTGATCGTCGTAATGCAGGTTCGTGATTGGCCGAGAGAAGCCGGGGGAGCAGAGCGAGGTGGCCCAGCTCATCCAGCAGACCCTGGAGCAGGAGCGCTGGCAGAGGGAGATGATGGAGCAGCGCTACAACCAGTACATGGACGAACAAGAGGTCAGCCTGTCACATCGTCAGCGCTCATTTTAAGACAAGAGGGGAAAAAAAAAAAAGAAACAAACAGTGTGGGGTCCACTGAGAGCTGCGCCTGCTGCACAAGCAAAAGCAGAAGAGAGGGTGCAGTGCTTACTAATCAGTTTGCAGCCCCCCCCCCTCCCTCCCCCCCCTCCTCCCTTTACTTGAATGCACACAAACATGCCGCCATGATCACACCAAGAGATGAAAGAGAATACAATTAGAGGGAAGATTCCTGCTTCTCAGTACAATTTTTTTTTTATGTAAAATTTCCATTTCACTCAATAGAAATATATTTATTCAAGTATAAAATGAGATACATATACATGATCGTCGAGTTATTGACTGTTTTAGTCTTTCACAGAGCTACTTTAGACGAGAGTAGAGGCATCGCTAAAAGGTCCCAAGAAACTGCAGGAAGAGCTCCATTTGATTTTCTGTTTTAAGGTATTTTTCCTCTAAGAAGAAAACGATCGGTAGGGCCTTGTCGTACAGGATTATTATTGTTTAAGGCAGAATATGAAGAAACCAACGCACAAAGAAATATTCTGCTGCATGTTTCTGTTCCACTGTGGAGAAACATGCCAATAAACTAGAGAATCTGCTGCGATTTTCTTATTATTAGGAGAGCTAAACGGTATCATCCTGTCAGTCTGTGTGCCTGTGTGTGTGTGTGATCTGCTCTCTGATAAACACATCATTAAGAAAATGTGATGATACTTTTAAAAGTTATTTATCTTTGTTGGATAGGGCAGCTGAAGAGAGACAGGAAGTGTTGGGAGGAGAGAGTGGGGGAGGATATGCAGGCAGAGGCCTGAGATGGGAATCAAACCCACAGCTGTTGCGCCTCTGTACACGAGATGCTGTCCTGTGCCTTGATAATACTGTTTAGATATGAAGTGGAATATGCAGATTTAGTCATTTTTGTTAAGTGGGGGACAAAAATCAGAAGTATTAAAAACCATAGAGGACAACAGGGAAAGAAAACTTAAATATCATGACAGAGTAAAAGCATTATTTAGCATATCTATCAAATCAAAATCAAAAAGGTTCTGAAAGAATGGATTCTTCCCGACGTAAAAAACTTTAGAAATGTTTAATTGGATGCCAGGTAAGATAAGAATATGCCCTTCACCGCAGGCGAAGTCATCATCAGTTTTTGCAATGTTCACAGAATTAAGAAACTTAAAAAATATCATTAAGAATACTTTTAAATCAGGGCGCCAATAGCGTAGCGTTTGGGTCACGCCCCCTGTACGGAGGCTGTAGTCCTCCAAGCAGGCGGCCCCTGGTCTAAATCTGACCTGTGACATTTGCGAACAGTCTCTGTTCTGATTTCCTTCTCGATCCACTGTCCTGTCAAATGAAGGCGAGGAGCCCAAATTTAAATGTAAAAAAAACCTTCAAAATGTGTCGTTGTTCGGACAGATAGTTTCACAAACGCCACAATACGTTCAATACACATCTGACACAAGACAGCCTGAACATCTGTTTTCACTTTCCACTTGCTCAGAGACAAAATACGGCTTCAAAATAAGAGAGAATCTGTTGTGGCCTTGCATGGGTTCGCTTCCCCTTTTAGGATCATAAAATCCATTCCAGTATCACGGTGAGCAGAAGTGACCCTGAGGCGATGTCGCTCATGTGTTCCTCTGGCCCCAAAGCCACACTGGTGTATCCAGCGTCCAGCATCAGACTGATCAAACGATAAGCTCTGATCTCCAAACGGGGACAAATCAGGATGAATGGAAGAGGACGCCCTCAGATGCTCTTTGCTCTGATAATCCTCATGTCCCTCTCTGCGATGTTCTGTGTTTCAGTTTTACATAAACAGATCCCGTGTTCAAAAACTCTGTGTGCTTTCATTAGAACAGCAGAAGGGGGGTCGCCCTCTTGGCGTTCAGGTGATGGGGTGTGGTTCTTGAAAAGGCTCTAGGGTTATCCGATTGGGTGGGAAAAAAACAGAGTTTAGCACCATCTAGTGTCCAGATGGTGTCACTGCACTGAAATGTGAGCTTTTAAAAAAACACAACAATCAATAATGTCCGTTTGTTTTTGACACATCTGTGACTTTTTAATGTTAAAACATGTACACTCATTTATCGTAATTGACTTTTTCTAAACTATTTAAAAAAATATTTATGGAAGTATCTCATGACATCACAAATCTTCCTTTATAACTTTACATTACTCTGAAAAATCTGTCTTTTTAAAAGTCAGCTTTCTCTTTCTTCACGATGTTCCTCTGCAGAAATGTTGACTCGGCTTCAATCAATCAATCAATCGTTATTGTTAAGTGTTATCTTAAAAGAGCATATGGGATAATATGCAGGCAGGATTTCTCCTTTGTATTCCTCGTGTTCCTGCCGTCCACACTTCCTCGCCGCTGAGGTCGGAGCAGGCCGTGCATGAACGAGGACGACGGGCGGTTTAGCGGGGCGACACAGTCCGATGGCGGCTTGGATCTGAATCAAACAAGACTCAGTGCAAGATGTGACTTAATTGGGTCGATTCACCGACCGATAAGATTTGTTTCCCTCACTTGCCTCCAGTAACTGTTGGTATTGCTAGCCAAGCAGATAAGAGTTTTAAAAAAAAATGCTGAAATCATGGAAAAGTGAACTCCAGAACATCAGCAGTTTGTCCTCACTGAAACACTTTGAAAACTTCCGGATGAAACTCCGATCTAAACTGTTCAAAAGAACTCTCTGAGGGGGGGGAATCAGAACTGCTCCATCAAACTTTAAGTGTTTATCTTGTGAATGTGTGTTCTCTGCAGGGCGGCGAGTATGGCACAGACGAGGAGGAGGACGACGACGAGGAGGTCAGCCCGCCGTATCCCAGCGCCATCGAGGTGTTCGACTTGGCGGAGAACGAGGACATGTCGCCCCTGGAGACGGACCCTGAGAAACTGGCTCATAAATACAAAGAGGTGAGGAGTCGGCTCTTTAATTAGAGGCTCTCCTGTGTGATCACAGAGGATTTTTTTTTTTCTCTGATGAATATTGACACGTGTATTTAAAACGATCATCTCCTCTTTCTGCTGTGAAGCTCCAAATAAAGCACGCTGTGACGCAGGCCGAGATCCAGCAGCTGAAACGGAAGGTAGATGATTCAATTAAGATCATATTTTAAACTAAAGTCAATCCTATGTGAAGAGGAAGTAAAGCAGGATGTTTTTTTATTGACGTGTATGTGTGCTTTCAGCTTCACCACGCGGAGCAGGACAAGCAGCGCTGGAGGATGGACAAAGCCCAGCTGGAGACGACCCTGCAGGAGAACAAGGAGCGGATGGAGAAGCTGGAGGGATACTGGATGGAGGCTCAGAGTCTGTGCCAGGCGGTGGACGAGCACCTGAAGGAGACCCAGTCCCAGTATCAGGCCCTGGAGCGCAAGTACAGCAAAGCCAAGCGCCTGATCAAGGAGTACCAGCAGAAGTAAGACGAGATGATTACACACATAAAGAGAGCTACTTTACGAGTCGGTTAAAAACCAGTCTGACACTCTCCGCTCTGCTTCCTGTCACAGGGAGATCGAGTACCTGAAGAAGGAGACCCAGCGTTGTGCACAAGTTGGAGAGGAGGCGACTCTGCTGAAAGAAGAGTCGGGACAACTTCAAGAGCAGGTACACGAGGAGGCCCGAGCTGTTTTTATACATGCACAGCCAGTCACTTCTAGCTGCTGAGGTCTCAGTCAAGTCTTACCTGCTGAGGTTTCAGGTCCAGTCTCAGGTATTCAACACCTCTGTGTGTTAGCTAACTATATAAAATGACATGAGGAGATCAGGAGATGTCCCAGTTTGCAGCCTGGGTCACCGTGGAACCATATTTCTTTTTCCTATTTTCAGATTTATTTCCAGAACTTTTCACTTCTTGTTGAGGCTTCAAAGCTCAAAATGTAGCTTGTAACACTTTCCCAAAGTTCTCAAAGACATCGAAAGAGGCTCAGTGATCGTCGAGAGCGAGCGAGCGAGCGGGCCAAACGTTGAAGTCTGCACTTCCCTCTGAATAAGTTTTGACTTTGAATGTCCAGACAGAAATGTTCTGTTGGAAAATCAATCACTTTCCTTTAAGCCAGAAGAGACGACGACATGCTGTGCAGAAGATTTTTTTTTTTTTTTCCTCGGCGTTGTTAATCGGAGCAAGTCAGAAGCCTGCACAGGAATCTCTTTGTCTAAGCTCTGCCTTCAGCGGTAAATGAAATCCTGCCTGCCTGGATTCACCTGAAAGCCCATCTCACCATTTTTATCATGAATAAGCTTTTTCTTTTTTTTTTTGTCCCAAAACGGAAGTTCTGAAACTGAAACTGGAACTCTGCGTTTAAAGCATCAGTTTGAAGAGTTTTTATCTGTATTTCTGAAGCTTTTCCATGAAGTTTGTTCACTTTAACTCACCGGGTCCAGCTTGAGATGAAATCAACTTCATGAAAATCTCTCCGATAGACAATTAGAACTCGTCTGTTAGAAAGTTTCATTTTCAGTTTCATGAGATTCATTTGGCCCAAAACTGTTTCAGAAAGTCAAGTGGCTTTTTCACACACATCTATTTAAATATGTTTTCTTCAGTGAAACAAAAGCTCTTTCATCAGCTACAAAACCTCAGAGAGCTATATTTAATCAGTGTGCTGTATCGGTTGTTTCAAGCCTTAGCTGATGCTGCAGCATGCAACTCGTATTGTCAGAAAATGACACGACATGTTTGCGACAACTTTGATCTATATTTTAAAGTCACACAAGTTATTTCTCTGGGGGTAAAAAGATTGATTTGTATCACTGATAGATTCTACAGTTCATTTAGCAGACGCTTTAATCCAAAGCGATGTAGATCAGAGGAAGAAGGACACAAGGGAGGATCTAGAGAGGAGGAAACGATGTCAGTAAGTGCAGACAAACAGCTTTAAGTCTGATCGGACACACAAGTGCTGACAGGCGGAGCAAAGGAGAAGCACAGCTGTTCTTTGGAGTTCTACTCAGCATCAAAACCATCCTAAAACATCTTCATCAAAATCATAAATATCATTAAGTGCCTAGTAGGGTTGGGAATCTTTGGGTGTCTCACAATTCGATACGATTTTGATTCTTGGGGTCACGATTCTATTCAGACTGTATTTTCTATTCAAAACCATTCTGGATCCATGGATTCAAAGTCTATTTTATGAATTAGTACACACTTCAGGATCTACTCCGGTCATCTGTGAGACTGCCAAATGGAGCGGCAAGAAGTTCAGCCATTTTACTGAGTTAAGGAGCTAGCCTTAGCACTTAGCAGCAAAAAAAAAAACTAAATACAAATCTATTTTAAATCTGAGAAGATAACAATCTCTATTTTTACATGTATAAACTGGATGTTCATAAAGAGCTGGGTCTTTAGCTTTTTCTTAAAGGTGCAAAGGGACTCTGCAGATCGAATGGAGTTTGGTAGTTCGTTCCACCCCAGGGGGCGATATACAGATATTCTGTTTTCTTACTAATGCACTCAGACTTTAGGACCCTCCTGTAAATATTATTCACCAGCAAACGCAGCGTTAATGAACCCACATTTCTCTGTCCTCTCTCCAGGTGGCTGATCTGGAGTGCCGGGTGGAGGAGCTCAAATCTGAACCTTTATAAGAATAAAAAAATAAAAAAGCCTTCCTCCGTGACCTATCTCTGCGAGCAGAACATTACGAGAAGAAGCGAAGACAGTGTTACTATTCTTGCAATGAGCTGCAGGGTATTCCTGGTCCCAACACTCTGGATGTGCCCTCAGGCTTCCTATTTCCGCCTCATTTCCCCTTTTAACAAAGTTTTTCAGTTAACGTCGAAGAGGAACGTGAAGAGCGCTTCATCACAAATACAGACTCTGTGGAGCTCTAGATGTGTACTATTCCCTTTTTTTATTTTCCAAACTTTAGTATTAAACCCAATAATTTGTCGTTTAGTGACGGACCAGGCTTTTGCTTTTTCTTTGCCAAAAAAAACCCAACAAATTTCCTTTTTTTTTTCTTTCGCCTAGTTTTGTGACATTTTTCTTTCCCTGAGTTTGTACAGATGTGATACTGTGTGGTTTAACAATCAGTTTGGTTTGTACAAAATTTTAATATGTGTATAACATTTAACATAATATAAACTAAAATGAGATTGAGGGATTGTTGTATATTTTACGTGATGACGGTGTGTAAATTGGGAACGGGAGATTGCACTGAAGAAGAAGACGTCGACAAGACGCTTCACCGGAATGAAGGGAAGAGAAAACGGGGGGAAAAAACGTGTGTGACATGTCTTCAGAAGAAAAAAAAAACATTTCTACAAACAGTAACCCAACCTCCGTAGGGGTCGTGTCCCTTAACCTTGAGAACCACCTGCTGCCTACCTTTCAGAAGTGTTTGTGTGTTTTTTACACATTGAGACTCGTTAACGAGCGTCCAATCCTCTCAACCCCCTCGCTCCTTTTCAGTAAAAAAGGACCATACAGAAACGAGCCTCCACAACTGCTGTGCCACAGATGAAAACGGATCTTATTCCCCCCCGCCTCAAATGGATGTTGTTAAGGATTTGTGTAACTGATATTAGTTAGGACTACTGATACTGGGACTGGGACGTTGATGAAAATCGTAACCAGCAGTAAAACTCATCGATTTAGTTGTGTCTTGAACCAGCAGCTGCACTTGACACCGCTGTGTGTAGCACATGGAAAACACTGCCAGGTTCACACCTGTTTCAATTTCCGCACAGTTTGAAATGAAATTGAGTCTACTTGTGTCAACTGTCATACCAGTATGTTTGTATAGTTCAGGTTAAGACTGAAGTATTTTAATTTTACCTAATATTTATAATATAGTCCGGCTGGAAATATGAGCGAAGGACAAAAACTGACAAAAGCAATGCAAAACGGTCATGTGTTATAGACAGTTATACTGTGTCATGTAAAAAAAAAAAAAAAGTAGATCTGGATGACTACGTAAACTAAATTAAGATTAATGAATTAAAAAAAAAAAAACGACAGGCATGGTTATGAGTATTTTCATAATATTAAGGCTTGTACAGTGCACATGCTTTGCATTGTATGTTTTGTGGAATAAATGGTCAACAGTGGTGAGAAACGATGGGTTGTTTTTATTTTGGTTTCACAATTTAGATTTGACATTTAGAGGAAAATAAGCATTTTGTTTTATGTGACTTTAGAGAGCGAGCTCAGGAGCCACTCTTACCTGCCAGCTCGTGTTTTGTCTGCTGTGAAAGATGTGTGTGGTCACGCTCAATTTTCTTTTTCAATAACATCTGATTCAGGATGGGCCACAGTGGAGTCGCTATTACGAGGCTGTTTTAAGATAATTGTATCAGAGAGAAGCACAGTGGAGTTTGGCGGCTAATGAGGAATGCTCTAATGCCCCAGTCGAATCAATATTCAATTGAATAAGTACACCATGCATACAAATTGAAATCCACTTGTCATGCCAAACCTCTCTGTATTATGTTGAATCTGAAAACATGAACTTGAAAGTTGTTACCATGACTACACATAAGTTGAAGATTGTAGTTCGGATCAGATGTGAAGGTTTGACTTTGCCAAATGTGCATCTTATCAGGATTTTTTATTTGTTGGAACAAGAAATGACCACATCTGGAGGACAGGTTGAACACTTATACATTATGCATTTATCCTGGTCGCCATGGTAGCGGCTTGACATTCACAGGTGGCCATCCTCAAAGGAATAACCTTCATGCCTCGAGCGCTTCAAGTGAAAATGACGACGCAAAACTGGAAGTTGAGAGCGACTCATTGTCATGTTTACTGAATTTATGAATCCTCATCTCACCTGGTGACAAATAATCACTCTTCCTTTTCGCAAAAAGACCATCACACTCCCCCTGCTGGTCAATGAAGAAAATGCAGGTTTACAGCTTTTTTTTTTTCTTCTTTAAATCTGAGGCTTCGTCCACTTCTAACATTCAGTCTCTCTTTGAATCTAACTAAATAACCAAGACGCCCATCACTGCATACTTTGGTTGCTCTGATTGGTTGCATTGAATTAATTACATTGATTTATTCACATTTAGCTCTTTCAGTAATTGACAAAAATTGAAAATTATTTTTGAAAAATTAAATATCTTGGGCGTGAAATGAGCTTCAAATAAAAAACAAGTTTAAATAATGTTATATACAGGACATTCACTAAATTCTCTGCAGCGCTTTAAGGTCACAATTGTGGAGTATTTGACTTTATAGTGCAACAATTCTTTATACTGAGAGCAAACTGGAGAACGTGTCTACAGGTGCATCTTCTGATGGTGTCTCCTGAGGTGATAGTTTCTGGAGAAGCTCTTCCCACACTGCGCACATTTGAACATCCTCTGCCCCAGGTGGAGCATCTGATGAGCTTTGAGACTCTGCGGGCGGCTGAAGCTCTTGCAGCACTCGGGGCAGCTGTAGGGCCTCACGCCCGTGTGCTTCCTCTCGTGCCTCTTCAGGTCCCCCGACTGCCTGAAGCTCTCGCCGCAGTGCGTGCACAGGTACGGCTTCTCCCCGGTGTGAGTCCTGAGGTGCACGTTGAGCTGGCCCGTGTAGGAGAAGCTCTTGCTGCAGTGCGGGCAGCTGTACGGCTTCTCGCCCGTGTGAATGCGCTGGTGCTGCTTGAGCCCGAAGTGATTGGTGAAACCTTTCCCGCAGTCGGTGCACAGGTAGAGCACCTTCACCTGCTGGAAGCACGCGTGAGACTTCAACGCCTTGCTGCCTGAAAAGTTCTCCCCGCAGTGGGGGCACACGCACTCTTTCCCCTCCTCTTCCTCCAGCTGATCCGCGAGGCCGTCCGAGTCCTGGAGCGACAGATACTCGGCCGGGTGGTGCCTCTTGATGTGTTTCATCAGGTAACTCTTCAGAGTGAAAGAGAACTGGCAGAAGGAGCAGGAGAAGAGCTCGGACGTGCAGTGATACTTCTTACACTTGTTGCTCTTCTGATGCTGTTTGAGGTTAGCAGAGGTGGTGAAGGCTTTCCCGCAGCGCTCACAGCTGAAAGACTTCGAGTCCACATGCGCCGTCTGCTCGTGTCTCTTGAGGAAACCCGACTTGATAAAGGTCGCCCCGCACTGACCGCACTTGTGCTGCCTCAAAGCGCACTTGTGAGCTTTAAGCTCCTCTTGGTTTCCGTATGTCCGTTTGCAGCGATTACAGCTGAACCATTTATATTTCTTTGACTTGGCGTTCTTTGCCGGAGGTTCCTCTGCTTCGGGGGAGCTATTCTCGGTCTGAACGGGGTGTTCATCGGCTTTTTGCACGCGGCCACCCGCCGTTTTGGAGCTATGAGCTTGGTTATGGCAGAAACTTTAGATCTGGCTCCGAGTCTCTGAGGTCTCTGAGAGGGAATCGGTTTGATGGACTCGGCTTTTTCCGCCACTGATTTTGGGGGATTGAAATCCGGATCGCAGCTCTGATCGTCGTCTTCATTTCCCGCTGTCGTCTCCTCGGAGTGATTCTCTCTCGTGTGTTGCTGAAGGCTCTCCGCCGACGCAAAAGCAAGTGAACACTCGGCACAGCCAAAGGGCGATGAGGTTGATTCTTCTGGATTGGTTTCTTGGCCCTTTTGTTTTGGATTTGGTGACCACGCAGGTGTCTGTTCAGGTCGCTGTACTGGCCGAAACACTTCTGGCACACGGTGCAGACGTACGGACGTATCCCTTTATGGATAGTCAGCTTATGCTTTCTGAGGTACGCCTCACTTGTGAAGCTCTTACCGCAGTCTAAACAACTCGACTGGGACGTTTCTGTAGAAGCCGTTTCAGTTTCATTAACGTCCACAGCTTCTTGTGGATCCTCAGTCATATCCACTTCTTTTGTTTCCTCAGCTGGAGGTGCAGCGTTTAAGAGTTCTGACCTCAGTGTTAGGCTCTCTTCCGGCTCCTTCTGATCTGGAACAGTGTCTGTCTCGTTTGTACCGGTCTGCTTTCTGTGAACCAGCTGGTGTCTGATTAAGCCAGACGCCTGGCTGAAGCTCCGCCTGCACTGCGGGCAGCAGTAGGGACGCTTGTTGGAGTGGACGCAGAGTTTGTGCCTCCGCAGGTGAGGCATCTGCTTGAAAACCTTCCCGCAGTCGCCGCACGTGTGGGAATCGACGGGATCGACGGATAGAACCACCAGCGATGCCTCGCAGTCGTCGTTGGTGGCGGGATTTTCTGGTTCCATGGCCTCAGCAGCCGGCGGTGTACAGTCTTCTTTCGGCTGTGTGTGGAAGTGTTGTGTGTGTCGCTGGAGGAACGCCTCCGTGGTGAAGGACAGCTGACAGTGAGAGCACAGGAAGAGCTGATGTGATGCTGCAGAATTATTTTCTATAATAAAAGAAGGAAAATGTCTTGTTAGTTCATGTGAAACAGTTAATCACAAAACAATCATGTTTGTGTATTTCTGGACTGTGTGTGTGTGTGTGTAGCATGTTCATGATCAATAACAGGTTGAAAAGAATGAATTTCCATACAGCAGTAGGGCTGGGAAATATATCAAGTTTTTAAGATATATCGATATATTTTCAAACAAGATATAGGGTAAGATAATATTGTTAATATGGATATAGTTTATGTTACATTAAAATAACGTTCTCGAGGTGCCAGGTCACCTTTTCCTCATCTCACTGATGATGACTGACTGTCCCTCTTCACCCTGCTCCTCCTCTCTCTCTCTTTTATTGTATTTAAGGAGCATTTATTTTATAATATTACTTTTTAAATTCACAAACAGGTAGTTTATTTTTCCATGTGTTTTCACTGTTAATAAAACACATATCCATATATATCGAGTATCGCCATTCAGCTAATCAATATCGAGATATGAGTTTTGGTCCATATCGCCCGGCCCTATTCAGCGGTATAATAAAGTTTCACTTCTTCTTCTAACTGGTGACACTTGAGAAGTGAAGGTACCTGTCGCGTTCAGCCTCATCAGCCACACCTGCATCCAGGCTTCACTGAAATGGTCCAGAAGTTTGCTGCTGGGCCACACCATGAGCTCATCTCCAGGCGAAACGGTGCGACAGCAGTGAAACAGGATGCTACCTTTGTACTGAACCGCCAGCAGGTTCGTCTCGTCTTTGTTACGAGCAAAGTTTACGTACCTAAGTAGCAACAGGGATTGTAAAAAAAAAAATGAAAATAAATTAAGATGAGCAACAAAGGTGTGGGTGGATTTTTTGAGAAACATCAAGGTTAATTTACAAACAAAAGTAAAGCAGGTCCAAAATAGTCATAATCTAATCATGGAAGCAGATTATACTTTTAAAGCACAAAACCTGCTCATTGAATGCACTTGAAGAGTGGTTTGGTTGGGATTTTAAAAATGTACAACACAGGACACTAGTAGAGATGATACAATATTTGTTCCTTCCTTCTAGATATGTGATCCAATCACTGCGTTCACATTATCAAGTGGAACTAGATATTGATCCAATAGTCTGAATACAGCATACCCTGTAGGGATGATATGTGATAACTGTCATTGTTTTATGAAGTTTCTTACGTTTAACTTTTAAAATAAGAAATAAATACTGAGATGATAAGAGTCATCAAAGTGAAGCCATGCAGACAGTTTTTTTTTTACAAGATAGATACATGCAAAAAATGGCATCGGTTTCTTCTATTTGTAGTTTGATACATCTTTCTATAGCGGTCCATGACACAGTCACACAGTGTCTTACAGTGGAAGGCTAAATACATGAACGTTTTACTCCTTTAAAAAAAAAACTCGGGGACTGAAAGTAAGGACACAGTCACAGAAGCAGAAGTGAATTTATTACCTCATCCAGTTTGAGTGTAAATCTCCAGCGGCATCAATGTACTCGTACTCATCTTTTCCTTTGTAAATCTGCAGAAAACGAGAACATTTTTAAATACACACAGAATCACCGCATTGTTGAATAATTTAAGAGAACAACTCATAATGAGATTTAATGATACGTTTGTCATCTACCGGGCGGTAACTGATTTCATTTCACACTCACCTCCCAGGAGAAGTCACTCTCTACTGCATTCTCCTTTGTTGTCACTTCTCCCTCAATGGGTCCAAAATGCATTCCCGGAGACACCGTCGGCCCATGATTTATGACCCCTACGCCTGCCCCGGGAATACTAGATCTTCCTATCATGAGGCCATAGGGAATCGTGAGCAGGGCCCTTTGGGGGACGCCCATGCTCGTTGGGAAATCCAGGATAAAAGACGGGCCGTTGATGTCAGCAGGATCACTCTGGTCCTGAAAGAGAGGCAGACACTCCTTGCAATCTAGAAAATATGAAAAGGAGACAAAATAATAATCAAACGTATCAGTATGGCATTATTAAAGGTGTTACGGGCACAAACCTTAACATGCCACACACACATTTACATTATTATTTTTCTTTATTTTACAGGGACATTGCATATTGATAAACATTTCTGTAAATATGCCTGTTGTCCAGATTTTCTAAAAGGCTCCCTAAAAAAAACTAATTCAAACATCGCTAAAAGCTGCAAAAATAGAAATATCATGAAGCAGACAGGTGAGCAGCGACAAGAGAAAATACATGAACCATGCAGGATACACATAAGCAGCAATTGGTTAATATAAACATGTACATCATGCAGGACAGACACGGAGCAGCATTGAGCAAACATAACAAAAAAACAAACAAGTATTAGTAAAAGCACGTATCCAATAACCTACTAAAGTAAATGTAACACCATATACAATAAACACGTACAAATGACACAAGGCCACATATAAAACATCGACTCACACCTACAATAAATAATGTACTGTAACTCAAATGGGATTTACAGAACACTAAATACATTTGTAGGATTCGGACTCTTTTTTGTAGCATGCACTGCCTGAAACAAGATTAACATGAAGAATGGAAATTTCACAATCAGGAAAAAAAGGGAGAATAAACATTATTAATTATGTGCTGTGACATTTCTTTCTTTAAGTAGAACACGCGTTGTCTGATTTTATTTGTAAGATATTATGGGAGCAAAAGCAATAACAATACATGAGGAAAATGAAAGAAAGTCTCCTACTTACAGAAACCATCATCAGCCTCTGGATTATCTCCATGTCCCACAGTTTCCAGTAACCTCTGGATTGGAGTTTCTGCTGGTTCCAAGCCTGGAATCACTGAAACAACAGATATACTATTAGAAGGAGTTTAAATGTACAAGTACAGAGTAATGCACAGAAGAAAAACCTGCTTCATACCTGCAGTGGTGTTGTTCACAGTGGAAAGGATCTCCTCTGTTATAACGACCTCCTCTGTTGTCTCAACCCACTCCACGCCGCTGCTCCTGGCCGACATGAGGACAGACTCTGTGGAGAGTTCACGGGGAATATTAAATTAACACAGCTTGTCACTGAAACACAGACTATCTGAAACATACAGGAGCGGTGCTGTCAAGTTAGCTTTAGTCTGCAATAGGAAGTAGGATAGCATCATAGCAAAGTGGCTATCAAAGCATGATGAAGACATTAAAGTACAGAGAGTAATACTTTCTAAATGAACGTAAATAAAATCACGCACTAACAGGAATAACAGCCTTTATATTACTCGAAATTTTCAGCAAACTATCGCTATAAACTGGTTTTGGTTTAAGTAAAATCTCACACAAAAACAACAAAACTAACCGTGAGCCGGAAGCACATCACCGGAAGTAGAAAAAAAAAACCAAACATACCAGTAAAGATAAAGATAAACTTTATTTGTGCGTTACAGCAGCTCCAGAAAACAGGGGACGGGAATATAATTATTAAAAAAAATAAAAAATAGAAGTTAAAAATCAAATCAAACATATTTACATCAGTTAAATAAAGAAATACAATAATGGAGTAGATGTGAAAAATATTCCCGTTTTTTTTTTTTTTTTTTTTTAGTAGCCTACAAGTAAAATAAATATTTGTAGTTTTTGACGTGTTTTTTTTTTTTTCCAGTTGTCTGTTTTTATTTTGTTGGTAACGTTTTATTTTTTGCGATCTCTCTTTTTCTTGGGCGGGTGAGTTAGATACCTGGCAAAACTAAAAATTTAAAAACTTTTTTTTTTTTTACAGTCTATGAGCAAAACGTTTTTAGAAAAAATAAATAAATAATAAAATAATAATGGGCAAAATATGGCGACATTTTGTCAGACTGCCCTTTGTAGTTCATATTTGATATAGAGTTTGTCTTTGTCTGTTTTGTTATTTCCCTGCGTGTCTAAATCTGGTCCAAATGTGAAGAAATATATACATATTTAAAGAAAAGAAAAAAGAAACAGCACTTGTTTCTTTATTGAGTGTTTCCTGCATCTAGATACACGGCGCCGCTGGTGTAGTGGTATCATGCAAGATTCCCATTCTTGCGACCCGGGTTCGATTCCCGGGCGGCGCACGGTTATTTTTTTAGAAACATTTTATTTTCTTGAAAGAGTACAAATCTATCAGATCAGTCGACAGTGTAACTACCTAACTCAGTACAGACGAGTAGGGGCATCTCAATGCAGGGAAAGGTGACAAAGCAGCAACGAACAGCAGCTATTCCGAGCACTACATTGCAGTGAAAGCTTTCACCCCCTGCTTGCCCATTGAATCTGTTGCCTGGCAACTCCTCCCCTGCTTAAAGTTTGTTTTATCACCTTTGTCTGTTATCGTTCGGCGAAAGACACAAACAACAACTGTTGCCTGGCGACGACGTAATGCATCAACAGTACTACTAACTTTCTCTGTTAACTGTGAGGATCGAAATGAAGTCCGTTAAAATCGGTGTTAATGTCTCGGACGGTGAAACGGTCGCAGGATGTGTCAGTATGTGCGGGATGTGTCCATGTTGCGCGTTTGCCGCAAAACCACCGGGTTTGATTCGGTGTTTGTGGAAGGTGTCGGATGAATTCAAGAGGAGATTCCTAATGGACCTGCTGTTACGATGCAGAAACATCAAAATACTCGAGGGCATCCAGAGGGTGCTGAGTGTGACTTCATGGACTTTATTCACTTACACCAGGAGCCCAACTTCACCTCAACATAAGGACCGAGCACCGACTGGGAAACCATTTGGACTGGACTTGAAAAAGATCTGGGACTGGTTCAACAGCAGCACAGAGTGGTTGAAATTACTCTACCTTTGCCGTCTTTTTTCATTTTGTGACTCGGAACTGTTATGCATGGTTGCCAACTTAACCAGGGTGCTTCTAGTCCGACAGAAACGAGGATTTCTGCAATGTAATGGTAAAAAAAATACAACAAGAGGACCAATATCTTGCAGTTAAATTATTTATGTCTCTTTTATGTTTTCATTTTGTGTTTCAGTTCTGCTAAATAGTCTGTAGGCTACCAGACCTGTACAGTCATTTTAATTAAAAAGTATGAAAGCGCACCTTGTAGTTGCACTGCAATTCCTCTAGGCCACCGCGAGATGTCGACAAAGGACGCTTATGCAGCTGCAAAATTGCTGTTTTAAAGATTTCTTATATATTTATATAAATATGTAAACGAGATATTGAATACAACATAACACAGTTTACATTAATCACGACTCACTTTTGTTATAATATCCTTATTCACTTTTAAGCGAGCGACTTCAATGTGATTCGAAATAATGAGGATGGAGACTCAGAGGACCCGGCTCTTATGGTGGTTCCTGGATCCTTAAAGTCTGTGTCTGGAGTCAGCAGATACAGAGACTTCATAAGCTGCCTACATGTTAATCTATCAAAGAGGATATTAGGTAAGTCAACACATTCACAGCCTAATCACCCCTAATGTGAAGTACTTTCTTACAGTCAATGGAAACAACATCACCACAATGTGACTCTTGTGAAATAATATTCTTCATCATCAATATGCTACGAACTGTGTTTCTTCAATAATAACTAACTACACATAGGGTATATTCTTAGTATTATTATATTGACATCATATCTTTACTCATATATTTATTTTCTGTTTTTAACATTTTGCTATTTTTTGCTGATTCTATTTTTCTTTTTTGGAGCTGTTGTAAATACCAAATTTCCCCCAACGGGGCATCAATAAAGTTCATCTAATCTTATCTTAAACAGAATTAGTGGAAAAGAGTCAAATTGTGTGCAACTCAGTTCCTTTAAAACTTTTATGCCAACATTTTCTTACTTGACATCGACTGAACATCCTTGCAGATTTTAAAATGTGAATTTGTGTTTTTTTACCAGGTCTGTTGGACGAGCACACTCTAGGACTATGTCAGAAAGTTTGCCGATACTGGCAGCACCTCGCACAGGAAACACTGGAGGAGATGAAATTGGCGAGGACATTTCAGGATAAAATGAAGGCCATGATGCAGGTGGAGGATTTTCATACGTTTACCTTGTATTGGTATAAGTCTTCACATGTTGATGATTTCTTCTTCAAAATGATGAAAAATGGAAAATAAACACTTTTTTTTTTTTTTGAAGAGGAGCAAAACCATGAATAAAGTCAGTCCTACGTATGCCAAGACTGTTGAAGTCCCCGTTCCTGTCAGGGAAGATGAAGGGGATATTCCACCTCGTGTCTCAAAGGTAAAAAAAAAATCTACTCTCACTCCATAATTTTTTCCACATCATAAGATGATTTTTAATTCATGGATTATATCTTTGGGCAGGTCAAGCTGTTTGAAGCTGCTTATGCGCCGATCAAAACCAAGACGGTGCAAATGGAGGAGAGAAATGTTTATTGCAGTGCATATTTCACCACCGTGCTGGTCGACAAGTAAGCACGCTTCACTTTTGTCTCATCTAAACCCTGCACATTTGAATTAAAAGAAAGCCTGCTGGTTGCGTTTGACAGAGTAGACCCCAGTCGCGTGCTGGACTACAGAGGCGGATCGTTCATGGCCGTGGGCTCCAAGGATCGTGTGGTGAATCTGCTTTATGTGACGTCACGAGCGAAATCAGTGTCGGTGCTGAAGGGCCACGTTGGCAGCATCCGGGTGGTGCTTCTCTGTGAGGAACGAGACCTGCTGATAAGTGGAAGCTGCGACTCAAGCATCAGGTGAGGAGTAGGCGGGAGGATGGTTTATATCATACCTCAGATTTATGGTTGTCTTTGTTGTTAGTGTGGGTGTTTATGTGGAGTTTTATCACACCTGCAGGTGTTGGAATTTGAAGACGGACTCTTGTGTGATGATGCTGTACGGTCACACTGGAACGGTGAACTGTCTGGACGTCTACGCTGATCGACTCGTCTCAGGAGCCAAAGACTGTGTGGTTAAAGGTAGGAAGTAAACATCATGGTTCAGACACAGGGTTTCATCTTAGTACATTATGCAGCTTCAAAACATTTGCAATATCAACAAGCTTTGTATTCTGATTTGTTCTCAACACACCCACTGTCCATTTCTATAACTCAAATGGTCATCAGGTACCTGTCTGAGGAAGCAGATTTACTCAGTTACATGGTTTATAATGCTGAGTCAAACCCCACAGCCTATCACTGGACCAAGTGTGTTTACACCTTTACAATTACACAAATATGACAATGATGGCTGGATGGATGGATGGATGGTTGGCTGGCTGGCTGGATAGATAGATGGATGGATGGATGGATAGATGGATGGATGGATGGCTGGCTAGCTGGATGGATGGCTGGCTGACTGGATGGATGGATGGCTGACGCTGACTGGATGGATGGATGGATGGAAAGATAGATGGATGGATGGATGGATGGATGGATGGATGGATAGATAGATGGATAGATGGTTGGCTGGATGGATGGATGGCTGGCTGGATGGATGGATGGCTGACGCTGACTGGATGGATGGATGGATAGATAGATGGATGGATGGATAGATAGATGGATGGATGGATAGATAGATGGATGGATGGGTGGATAGATAGATGGATGGATGGATAGATAGATGGATGGATGGGTGGATGGATAGATAGATGGATGGATGGATAGATAGATGGATGGATGGGTGGATGGATGGATAGATAGATGGATGGATGGATAGATAGATGGATGGATGGATAGATAGATGGATGGATGGATAGATGGATGGATGGATGGATAGATAGATGGATGGATGGGTGGATGGATGGATGGATAGATAGATGGATGGATGGGTGGATGGATAGATAGATGGATGGATGGATGGATAGATAGATGGATGGCTGGATGGATGGATGGCTGATGCTGACTGGATGGATGGATGGATGGATAGATAGATAGATGGATGGATGGGTGGATGGATACTTTATTGATCCTGAGGGAAATTCAAATCACTAGTGTCTTACAAAAACATTCCTGACATGCAGTAAAGCAATAGAGTTTTTTAGATGAAAAAATCAAATCCTCTCTGGAGGTTATTGTATTGGTTTGTAAAAAAAAAAAAGACTAGAACCCTAGAGCCCTTAACTCTGGAACTGAATCAACTTTCTTTTAAATTTTGCTCTGCAGAAGTTTTTCAGTGAATAAAAAGGGTTTTGGTATAATTTCCTTTGTTTGCACACACTATAGAGGAAACAATCTTTTCATTCCAGCAGCACTGTACGTTAGGATTTGTACGAGTTATTGCAGTCTTGTTTCTCATTTCTCTTTTTTAAGCATTCTTATAATGAGGAGTCAAAGATTTCTTTGGCCCTTGCTGACACATTTTGATAACCACAGGAAAAATATGATTTGTTTTTTTTAAATGTTGATTCATTTTTTTTATTGTTTTACTACTCTCCCTGCCAGTGTGGAGTCTGCAAACAGGGAAGCAGTTTGAGGATTTGAATTTCAAGCACCCGTGTCCCATCCAGTGTGTCAAGATCAACAGAACGACGGTGTACAGCGGCTGTAACCGAGGAATCATCAAAGTATGGAACATGGAGACTGCTGCTCTGATCCGGGTGAGAATAAGAGTCATTCACGGAGAACAATACACTCTCTTTAGAACATTTATTTATTCTTTTTACATCTAACTCATCTCTCACAGGTGATTGATGCCCACAAGAATTCAGTGAAGTGTCTGTTCCTTGATGAGTGGCACCTTTTATCGGCCGACTCTAAGGGTCAGGTCAAGGCCTGGAGCACCAACTGTGATGTCAAAGAGTGTCTGATGACCTTCAACCACCCAAAGTAAGAAGAACACTTACCCTGTGTATTTAATAAAATATTCAAATATTTTATATCAGCTTTTTTTTAAACCATATTTCCTGTCAGTGACCATGTAAGCCATTTGTCAGTGTTGGAAATTACCTTTCCAGCTGAACACTGAAAAACATCTTATTTCAATGATTTTTCTGCAGGGAGGTTAAGTCTATGACTCTGATGTACCTGCGTGTCATTACTGGCTGTGCCGATGGAAGGATTCGAGTGTTAAATTTCCTCACCGGAGATTGTGTGAGAGAAATCAAAGCAGAGGCAGAAACAGGACGAATACTGTCGCTACATTTCCATGACAACAGGTGAGGACAGGAGAGACTTCTTTTTTTAATCATCCTAATGTTGTTGTTTTTTTCTGTTCACATGTTGTAGGATTTCGTCCCACATATTTATATTTCTGCACCCGCCTTTAGTATTTTAGTGAACTCATCAACGAGTGTGATGCGCTACCAGTTTGCCAAGGTGTTCTGGGATTACACAGAGTCAACAGAGAGCGGTAGAGAAGATGTGGTGGCTCAGGATCACACCAAAAAGGTGGCTTCAATCGGCTCAAAGATGCTCAACTTCAACATCAAGAAACCAGAGAGGTCTGAGCTGCTTCACCACGCCTGCTGCTCGTCTAACCCGGGTAAATATCAAGCACAATGTAAACACAGAAAAAGCTAAATAGTGGACGATTGTTTTCAAATCAGGGGATGTTAATGAACTTTTTTCTTCTTAGGCAAAGAGCGCAGTAAGAGTGCTCCAGAGTCGGTGATGCGGAGCGAGAAGGCAGCGAGTGAACGGATGAGGAAGAGAGGTCTTCATCATCCTCTCACACGTGATTCCATCCACCTCAGGGTCAATGCCATGCAGCGGGCGCGGTGCACCGACGAAGTGAGCGTCAACATGGAGCGCAACGCCCGGCTCAGAGACTCCTGGGGTCCCGAAACGTCCAAGAGTCAGACGAGTCCGCCGGAGCTCCCGCAGGACGCTCATCTCCGTAGGCCCAAAACCTGTGTTCCCATTTTAAAGCCAGCTGTCAGTCAAAGTGTGACACGCCCAGTCCAAGGCAGAGTTCAGTGTCACAGCGCCGACACGCGCAGGCCAATCAGGAGGCTGAGTGGGTTCATTAAAAGTGCAGCAGAAGAACCGCGAGCTCCTGAGGGAGTTTTTACGACGAGGTCCTTTCCTCATTCAGAACGCGACATGAAAACTAGGACCAGCTTACCCAGGATCAGCCCTGTGAGTCCAATCAGAGAGCGGGGAGGATTCAGGCTGATCTCAGAGAAACAGCAGGAGGACTGCATCCGAGCCAAGAGGAAACTCATGAAGAGCTGTTAGCAAAAAACTGTAGAAAATACAGTGAGGAAAGTGTGTCCGATGGTTAATATTCTATTTTTAGCATTGAGAACTCTTGTCATCTTTATCCATGGTTCCCCCATTCTAAATCTGGTGTTTTATGAAATGTCCACTAGGGGGCAGTGTTGTATAAAATGACTGCAGATAAACCAGGAACCAGAGTTTAAATGTAGGCGTCTGTAGCCTTCCAATAACTTATAAACTGTGATTTTACTTTTAAAGGGGAACATTTTTTAGTTTTCTTTTCCCATTCTGAAGTTAAATGTATCTCAAGTTTCCTTTTCGATATTCAGAAAAAAATAAACGTTGGAGGCAGAAGCAAACTTGTTTGTTCACGATTTGTTCCTGCAGTGTCCTGAATATATTCAGGGTTAGCCCAAGTAATTTGATTAGGCCATGGGACAGGTTAGCTGTAACATAGCTAAAGACATAAAAAATAATACATCATCATAATTCCTGATGCCTAAGCCTGGTTGAAGGTTTAGAGTGCTTTTATTTATTTGAGGTATTTATAGTATAATAAATACCTCTAAATAATATATATAGTATAAAAACAAGCAAAAATACGTTTTTAACACTTTCAACTTGTTTTTCTTGGGAAAAAAAACTACAAAAATCACTTTTCAAGAACAATTTTTCAGATATAAAAATCATTACAATTCCACTGAATTGTAATGTTTGTACACAGGGGTTAACATTTTTATCTCATCAACTAATTTTCCTTCAGTCCGTCCATCAATCAAGCAGCGAAAGTCTTTGTGCAATTCCAAGCTGTTTGATGACATCACTCAGATCGTTTGAAGTGCTGCAGAGTGAGAGGAGTTTGTGTCCCGTCCAGAGAGACCTTTTCCCCCCTGGGCCACCTGCCCTCTCGCCCTGCTGCCTCCAGGGCATCATTAGGGCCGGGGGGAGGTTGAAGATCAGGGAGAAGGTCCTCTGCTTTGACAGCAGCAGCACAAACAGCTGGGCACATGTGAATAACAAAAGGTTGGTGAGGAGAACCGACTGCTGTAGACGTCCCACTTCAGAGGATCTCCTCTTTCAGGAGAGCGCTGCCGCTAATTAATTTGATCTGCAGAAAAACTGGGAATAATAGCATCACCCCCCTTTTCCTTTTTTCTCCGGTGGCGGTGTGACGTAAGGAGACAATGAAGTCCCCCGCCTGACACCCGGAGCTTGGCTTAGCTTCGTCATGCATCACAGCTCCCCCCTTTGTTGCGCCAGGTAGTCTCTTGTCCAGAGCTGCAGGGGGGATAATGAGCGTAAAATCAAAGCAAAGTAAAAAAAAAAAAAAAAAAAAAAGGGAAAGTCTTCATGGAGGAATGCTCTTACACCTTCTGCCCCCTTGAGCTGGCCTGAAGGCTCTGCCAGGGAGAGGAGGGTGCAGGTTTACTTATGCATGAAAGAAATGACAGTTCACCCTCTCCTATAGTTAAAAGAAGTATTGACGGGTTAACGCTGACAAAAAGTCGATTCAGTCCAACTCAGCTGACCTCTCCTCTGCATGGATCTCCATCTCCAAAGAAAGGATATTAGCATTAGAGTTTGTTTGTCAAATACATTTTTCAATTTTTGTCACGCTGTGTCACTACCAGGTTTGAACTCTTCACCCGTCATGGTATTAGAATGTGATTAACCAAATCACAGACCGCAGTATTTTTTTGTATTTGCATGTCAGTCAGACGAGTGGCTGACTTGCCCTGGAGCTGTGCAGATCTCACATCGGCACAGGCTCTAATGAGACGGCCATCAGACGCTAAAAAGCTCAATGAATATGCAAATGGGGAACTGACTTTGTGATAAGAAAAGACCGCACCCTGGACAAAATACAGGGGAAAATGGTTATAAGGATGCAGCAGTAAATCACGTGGCATTCAAGAAAGAGTCGGGGAACTGAAGCTTAAACCACACTCAAAAAGAACATGAGATGTCCCTCTAATCTTTCCCTTGCTGAGAATCATCCTAAAGCTATAAATAAATTAAAGGCTTTACATGCGATTTTTCACACTTAAATGTAATATAAATCAAGTATATCCTCTGAACATAACTCTGTGAGTCATGACTGTCTACAATGGGTGTAACACCCGAGTCCCACGGTCTGTGATGTTTTCCGAGTTTTCCGAGTCCTACCTTCAGTTTGTTTACATCGCCCGGACGGCCGGCCAACTCCTCCCCTCCTGTATAAAAGTTGTTTAATTGAGGGACTAGAGAAAAGAAGAATAACATACTGTACTCACTGCTTAACTGTGTTTCTAGATCACGCTCATTTCAGGTAAATTTATATGCAGTGTGAAGATACCAGCAGAATAAATTAGCTGACATTAGCATGCTAACACAACAATGCGCTGCGAGTTGTTTTGGTTTCATGCTGGAGCTCAAGGGCGACATCTGCTGGATCAAAAAATTGCATGTTCTGCCTTTAAGTCCTGTCTTGTTAGCTTTCTAAATGTGTTTTGTCTTTTTCTGTCCTTTTAATACCTATAGCTGCAAAACCAATCGCTCTTCAGGGACTATTAAAGTTTAAGTTTAAAAGGGTTCCACTTAATTGGACTGGTTCAAGTCAATGGTATGAAACAGGATTGCGGAGCAGTATCCAGCTTGTGTTGATCACTCCTCTGTCTCTGTTACTGTCAGATCTTCGAGGCGTACGGTCAGACCGAGTGCACGGCCGCCTGCACCTTCACCATGCCGGGAGACGCCACCTCGGGTATGAAGCCCCCCCCCCCCTCGCTTTAACACCCCTCCTGAGTTGATCTGATAACAAATCACTCGTCTAATTTAAGATTTGTTTCTAGATCACGCTCATAATAAAGATCGCTAGCATTAGCATGCTAACACAACAATGCACCGCGAGTGGTTTTGGTTTCATGCTGGTGCTCAAGGGCGACATCTACTGGATGAAAAAATCGCATATAAAGCCTTTAAAAATGTTCAAATATGTGCTTAAGTTGGATCCTTTTACAAGAGATGTATGGGGATTGACTCTCCTCTGGAGCTAGCCTCAAGTGGCCATCCAGAGAACTGCAGTTCTGTGATGGCTTCATTTTTCCGCACAGGAGGTTTTTCATTTGTTAACGTAACAATACATAGCATTAGCCCTGTGGTGTTGTTTTGTGTATTTGTAGAGTGAAATGTACCTGATATTATTTCTTTATTGTGAAACTTCAGTTGCAAGTGGCATCCTTTTTTGTTTTTTTTGCATTAGAAATGAGTCGATGGGAGTTATTTGGGGTGCAGGATTTTTCTTACAGGTATACTTGTGATATCCAAAACTACATTTTAGGCTGTATCAGAGGCAAAATCCTCCCTATATCCAGCAGAGAAGTGATATCAACACATGGCATCAACAATAAGTAACACATGAGATGCCAGGCCACACTGCCTTCACTGTTGCCCCAGTTAGGTTTTCCTGAAAGTCTGACCCATGACCTCATTTTGACCGCAGATAGAGATCATAAGAAAGAAAGAGGATGCAGCCCAAACGAAGGGAGGCAATTAACAGGAACACCATTACCCTGATGTGGGACTGATTAACATCCACATCAAGCCAAGCAAAAATAGATAACAGAGGATCTGATTGCTCATTGATTGGGTCTCAGTGGTGCGTCTGCAGCGGGGCGAGCTCCTGTTTGCTGAAGTTGGACTTCGCTGCGTTGGAGGGTTCGTTGATTGATTGAACCAGAGAGCGCAGAGTGAAAGCTCCGACCACACATGAGGAAGAGGATCGAAGAAACTTCTGGGTGCTTCTGCTTCCTCGTGTACAAGACAAACCCCCCCCCAACAGATGATTGTGCAAAGTCATTAGTCAGAGCTGCAACAACATGTCGAAGAGCATCGATTCAGACCGTAGAGACGACACCTGAATGAGCCAAAGTTGATGAAAAAAAGCTTCTTCCCGTATACAACGAGTCATTGTTTAATGGCCCCCGTACAAGCGGCAGGAGGTTTCCATGCCTCTTGATTTTGTTTGTATTTATATCATTAAGTTTGTCTTTCTCATTTAGGAATTGACTGATTGTACAATGACACCATCTGGGGCTCTTTTCAGCTGGGACATCTGGAATGTATTCTGATAATTGCAAAGAGATTATTTTCTATCTGCAAGACCTTTTCTATACAAAAGACCCACACAACAACACAAACAAACGGTGATTTATCACCAGAGGCTATGGCAAATATTACATCAAAAGTTGGATGGTTCTGTGCTTTAATCACAAGGCAACACTGGTATTATGTACTTGTCCTCTAGGGGGCCCACTAGACCTTTATATAGACCAGTAAGTGGCAAGTCAGGAATGTTTCCACCAAATATCACTCCTGCTTGTCTGGGTGTTTGTGACAGACATTTAGCAAAGATAATCTCTTTAGCAGTATGAATCTTCACTTGTTTGTTAAAAATAAAAAAATTTGATTATGAAACCAGTGAAACTAGAGTCTGTTGTGTGATTCTGAGGATTGAGATTGATTGAATAAAACAAAAACATGGGAAGTCGATGGCTGAGAGGTTGACCCCATGTACAGAGGCTGTACTCTCGGCTGTGGCTTGGTTGGTAAAGTCGGTCGTCTCTCAACCGGAACGGGTTCGATCCCCAGCTCCTGCAACAACATGTCTGATGTGTCCTTGGGCAAGACACTTAACCCCCAAGTTGCTCCCTCTGCTTCGTCGGCGGCGTATGGATGCATATGATTGGGATTATTTACCTCTGATAGTAACTACATAGCAGCCATCAGTGTGTGAATTGGTCTGAATGTGTAGGTGTGACATGCGGTGTAAAAGTGCTTAAGTACAAGTCCATTTACCATGTAGTCCTCAACGCATGCGGCCGTGGTTTGAGTCAGACCTGATGACGTCATTCCCCACTCCCTCTCTCTCTCTCCCGCCCTGATTTCTGACTATTCACTGTCCTGTCTCTCCGATAAAGGCCCCAAAAATAAAACTTAAAAAAAAATAAAAAATAAAGAAGAACACTGTCAGCTATATAATATAAATCAAAAAAGGCAGAGGCAGAGTGATACATACGGTAAAAAGTCCCTGTGATGTTGTTCTCCACTCATGGAATGGCTCTTGTCCAATCAGATTGCTTGGTTGGAACTATCTGTTGTATAAAAAACATAATCACACTGAACGGCATGCTGTTGTACTTAATATAAGCATGTTTTGATTATTTTAAGACCTATAGCCCTCTAGTGTGATATTGT